CTGCGGGCCCACTCGTCGCCTCCACGGCGACGCGTAGAACGGCGCTCGCGCTCCTGGGACATGCTTGCGGAGGGCGCCGTGCAGTGCCGGGTCAAAGTTTAGCTGGCTTCGCGGAAACTTCGCTGTCATTAGAAATGAACTTCTTGACGGTCGCGTCGAAGTTGCGCAGTTAACCTCGCCCCCAATCGCCGCGCAGATTCCTGGCGCACGCTCTGGCCATGATGTCTCAACGGTCGTCGTGGATAGTTGAGTCGCTGCGAAAGTCCCTCGGGTCGATGACCGCGGGGATGCCGGGCCGTGGAATGCCGCGCGGCGCCGCGATCATGGCAGCGCACCCCCTTACCTGCAGCTAAGGGACATCGATCATTTGCACATGGAAGTTGTCGTTGACGCGCCAGTCGCCAATGGGCCTCTGTAGTTCGGACGGCCGCCTTTGCCCCGGGCAGCCCTCGTGAGAACTTGGGAACTGATGTTGGCCAGGCGCGCCTGCCCGCCGTGCTCGCCCCGGCGGCAATCGGCTAACGAGCTCCGCCAAGCTAGCGGTCCGTCGATGGGGGGCAATGGGCAGCGCGCGCCACCGATCAGAACCTCGAATGCGTCGCGGCAAGGGTCGCAGTTTTCACTGGTTGCGAAGTCTCGCAAGGTGTCACGCAGCTCGCACAGCTCATTGTTAACCCGCCCGCCTGTCGAGCTGAAGCACATGCTGGGGGGGCCTGCTGAAGTTAGGGTGGCGGCTGCGGTTTCTACCTGCAAAGTGCCCTCGCGCATGGCGAGGCGGCCCGGGCTCGAGCTGGCCGAAGTCAGGATTGGCGATCTCGTCGGCGCGCGCGAGGGGGTCAGCGACGACGCGAACGGGCGGCTTCGGCGGTTCCCGGGCGCCCAATGGTGGAAGGGTGCCCGGGTTACCTCTGATGGCCCCTTTGTTGCTGCCCCTGTCGTCGGTCACGCTGCGCAAGTGCCCCGGTGATTCCTCTACCTCTTTCCTTGTGAACGCCTCTAATTTGGAGGGCTGCCCCGCGACGATTTCGACGGCGATCTTGAAGCGCTTGCGCGGGGGGGCGCTGACATTGCCGGGGCCCGGCGCGCTCGACGCCCCGGGGGGGCTCGGCGGCGCCGCGCTGCAAGCACGGGCGATTCCGCCTTCGCCTTCGCCTCCGCCCCCGGATGGCGCCGCTCTGCTGGCGGCGGCTGTTCGCGCACAAGTCCAAGCGCGCTGCAGGGCCCGCGCTCCGGCGCCGACGACCCCGCCCAGTTGTCGGAGGCGATGCGCGCTGCAAGACGCGCTCGACGTCAGAAGAAAAACGCGCGACGCGCGGCTGCGGATGCCGCGACGCCGCGCGATGCTCCAGCAGCCGAGGCGGCGCGTCCGACGGGGGCGCGGCCGGCCAGCGCACCGGGCCCCGAGCTCACCCGGCCGCCAAAGCCCACCCAGGCACCGCTAGAACGCGCTGGCGATCCACTTGCGCACGCTGGTCCTGGCCCTGCTCAACTGCAACTCCGCGGCGTTGGAGCTGGCAACGTTGCTTTTTCAATGGCCCCCAATGTCCCCGGCGCTCTCCGCGCGGCCGAGCGACGTCCGCAGAGATGGCTCGTCGCGAGGTGTGCCCCAACGCTGCCCTGGCATGGGTGGGGAACCCGGTGGAAACGGGAAGTCCCACCAGCCTTCTGGGCGCAGGTCGTCCAACGAGAATATTTATGTCCTCATCCAAAAACTCATCTTCCCCTTCGGGAAGGCCCCCCCCCCCCTCCCCTGGACCTTTTGTATGGGGGTCGCGGGTCGTCGGAGGGCCCTTCTTCGGCACCAGGAAGGGCAAATTTCTGACGCCCCCCACGAGGATCGCGGCCCCCGAGGGGGGGCCTCGATCGAGCCCCCACCCCTTTGATCGAAAGCTTCGAAGATGGCCCCAAGAGGCGCTGCAGGGGCCCGAGAGAGCCCCAGGAGAGCCCCGAGAGGGCTCCAAGAGGGCCCCAAGAGGGCCCCGAGTGGCACCCGAGAGGCCCCCGAGAGGCCCCCGCGCGGCCTCATAGAGCCCAAGATGACCTCCAATATGGCTCAGATCGCCCAAGCTGGCTCAAGATGGCTCCCAAGATGCTCCAGACGGCCCCACGACCGCTCCATGAGCGCTGAAAGAAGCGGGTTGCCGGCCCCTGAGGGGGGGGCTGAGCTGGGGACCCACCCACCCTGTAATCGATGGCCTCCAAGATGATCCCAAGCAGCCTTCCAGGGTTAGCAGGAGAGTTCCAAGAGGCCCCCCAAAACTCCCAAAGAGCACCGGCAGCAGCAACAACAGCCGCAATACTACCTCTGGATGGTTCCATGAAGCCTTGTCCGCGTCGTCCTCATCCTAGTCCTCGCCCTCCTCGCCCCCGCCCCCTTGCCGCGCCCTCCTCGCGCCGCTCGCCACCCCCCCCCCCCGCCCCCTTCTTCCCCTCGCCCTCGGGCGGCGCCCAGGGATGGCCCGAAAAGGGCCCCCAAGGCCACCCCCTTGCTCGCTTCGTTCCGCTAGATGTGCCTCCTCGCCCTTTTACCGCCAGCTCTGAAGGCCGGGGTTTCTGAATGGGCTGGCGGGCATAAGTGTGGCGTGGTGAATGTTAGCTCGCCGCTTCCACGTTCGCATTGCAACGCATGAGTCTCTGCATCTGGGCTCGGTGGAGCTGTTGTAAACTGCGCGGTTGCGCTGCAGCATAAATTTTGCGGAGAACATCGCGACGCTTCCTGCCAGTTCCTGGCCATCTCCTGACATCGTACTTCCATCTGTCCCAGACGTCTGCAGTCTCGGACTCCGACATGGAACGTTACCGCGGTGC